ATACTGCTGACAGATTCAGTCTTTCTCTTGTTCTTGTTCCCCTTGATCCTCAGAACTGTGCATGCCACCATGGTTTTTCATCTCTATTTGTACTAGCTTATTGACTAGGGATGTGAAGGATTAGTTGACTATCCAATAAGCAAATGCTTCTGGCATCAGGCTACACACAGCATTTCAAAGTTGCAGCGCTGCAGAGAGCCCGGGGTCAGCGGGGGAGACCCCCCCCCCCAGCTGACCCTGGGCTCCACACGGTGCTTTCGCCTTTGAAGTGTAGCAACAGCCCTAGGATAGTCGACAAGTTGCTTCCTCCACCCTTGCTGTCTCTATCAGAAAGAGACAGCAAGTGGGAGGAAGAGTAGGGGGTACCTGAAAGCGGCAATGCCACTTGAAGCCTGGAGCCAGACCCTGGGCTCCATTCAGCTCTGCCACATTGAAACGCCGCATACAGCCTGGGGCACATGGCATTTCAAAGCACAGCACCACATGGAGCCCGGGGTCAGCTGGGGATTGCTAACCCCAGACTCCGTGCACTGCTGCTACTTTAAAACACTGCAGGGAGCCCAGCATTAGGCTCCTCAAAGCATTTCAAAGCTGCAGCGCTGCGTGAAGCCTGGGATCAGCTTGGGACTCTCCCACTGACCCTGTGCCCTGTGCAGCACTGCCACTTCGAAACACTGCGGGGAGCTCGTCATCAGGCTGCATGCGGCATTTGAAAGTGGCAATGCTGCACAGAGCCCGGGATCAGCAGGGGAGTCCCCAGCTGACCCTGGGTTCCACGTGGTGCTTTTGCATTTGAGGCGGCGCTTTCACCTTCAAAGGTAGAGGTGCCCTATCAACTAATTGAATAGTGAATAGTTGATGCAAAATGCATCAACTATTTGATTAGTCAGTTAGTCAATATTTAACATCCTTACTATTGACATTGGGCCAATCTACAATGGGACAAGGCCCTCACTACACCCATCTGTGTTTTTCCAGTCTTTTACTCATAAAGAATCATATGTAGGAAACTTGCACCATTTCCTGGTAAATACTTTTCATGTGTCATTAATGTAGTCCTTTCATAAATCACTATTTTATGCACGCCCTTTATTATATTGCTGAATTGAGCTTCTGTTAACAGTGAATGTTATTCATATGAAATTCCATCATGGTTTTTAGTTATGTGAACTAGAATGAGATCACTGAATCAATTTTTCACATGAGATATGAGCAAGACTTGATCCTACTTGGTACAAATGATTTATAAGGTTTTTAATGATTCCTAACATTCTGTTTTCTTTTTTGACTGCTGCCGCACATTGAGTGGATGTTTTCAGAGAACTATCTATAATGACACTAAGATCTCTGTCTTTAGTAGTTGTAGCTAAATTAGTCCCCATCATATTGTATTTATAGTTGGGATTATTTTTTCCAATGTGCAATACTCTACATTTATCGACATTAAATTTCATTGTTTCAATATCAATGCCATTTTGTTGCCCAATCAGTTAGTTTGGTGAGATCTTTTTGAAGCTCTTCAGTCTGCTTTGGTCTTAACTATCTTGAGCACCTTGGTATGATCTGCAAATTTTGCCACCTCACTGTTTACCCTGTTTCTCTAGCTCATTTATAAATAAGTTGAATAGGATTGGTCCCAGGACAGACCCTTGGAGGGACTCCACTAGTTACCTCTCTCCACTCAGAAAACTTACCATTTATTCCTACCCTTTGTTTTCTGCCTTTTGACTGGTTATCAATCCATGAAAGGACCTTACCTCTTATTCTATGACAACTTATTTTACTTATGTGTCTTTGGTGAGGAAATCTAAGTATAATAGATTTGTCTACATGTTTGTTGACCCCCCCTTCCCCGCCAAAGAACTCTAGTAGATTAGTAAGGCATGATTTCCCTTTACAAAAACCATGTTGACTTTCCCCCAATAAATGTTCATCTATGTGTCTGACAATTTTATTCTTTACTATACTTTCATCTAATTTGCCTTATACTGATTAACATCAGACTTATCGGTCTGTAATTGCCAGGATCACCTCTAGAGCCCTTTTTAAATATTGGTGTCATGTTAGCTATCTTCCAGTCATTAGGTACAGAAGCTGATTTAAAGGATAGGTTACAAACCACAGTTAATAGTTGCACAATTTCCCATTTGAGTTCTTTCAGAACTCTTGGGTGAATGCCATCTGGTCCTGGTGACTTGTTACTGTTAAGTTCATCAGTTTGTTCCAAAACCTTCTCTGACACCTCAATCTGGGACAATTCCTCTGATAACTTTCACTTTAACAGCACTTTCAGAGTCCAAATTGTCATAGAATCTGGAAGCCACAGGGGTGTCAAGGTACCATCAATTGGGCCCAATATAAGGCAGACTGGTGCAGGACATATAGCCTTGGAGTTAAGAGCAAGCACCCCTTTACAGAGAAAAAACCAGGAAGGAAGCACCGATATATAGATGTCAAATGACAAAGAACAACAACTTCCAGATAAACAAATGTTAAACAGAACTGATGGTGATTGATTAAGAGCTGACGAAACAAAATGTATAGACCTGAATGGAAGAAAAGCCCTGTAAAAATGGGATGTCTTGCATGAATCTCCGGATCTTGTCTTTTAAAGATCGGAGTGTCGGTCTGGACCGAGAGAAGCCCCCACTTTTCCCCCTCGCTTTTAACTTGTCTGGTCAGTGAGTTAATGTGAGCAACAAACTGGTTACTTCAAGCAACAGCAAGGCGGTGTGTGGCAGGGAGGGTAAATGCATATAACAGAATAATGTTACATTGTTGATATATGTGGTGTTTTGCCTTATCGCCTCTGAAAAGAATCCCGTGAAATTCTTTCAAGTATAATAACACTTTGTCGCCCCAGTGTTCAGACACTACAGTTCTGGGCATGACTCCTCACTCAAAAGAGCATGCTTCACACCGGTACAGGAGATCCTCCTCAGTTGTCATATGCCATCTACAAGAAGAACCTATTTATACAAATGGCATTGATTCCCACCATGGTGCGACAATCAACATATCTCTAACACATCAGTTGAGTTTCCTGAAATATTGGAGTCTCTTTTATTTCTTAAGAACAGGGGACTCTCCCTTAGTTCCATAAGAGTGCACCTGGCCTTGATGATAGCGCACCGCCTTACCATGGAAGATTACTCAGTGTTTGCACACCTTACCCTCAAAAGCTTTCTAATAGGACTTCAGAATACATACTGTGACCCCCTTCCTCCCCTGCCCCACCAATAAAAGCTCTGACTCCTGCTTGGGATCTAAACTTAGTACTAGGGGCAATAACGGGTAAAATGTTTGAACCTCTGGCTACTTGCTCATTATACACTTATCTGTGAAATTGGCCTTTCTAGTAGCCGTTATTCAGTGTGCAGGGTGGGTGACAGAGCCTCCGTATACCATCTTCCACAAAGATGAGGTTGTTCTCTGCCCACATCCCAAGTTTCTCCTGAAAGTACCCGTGTCTTTCCATTGTAATGAATATATGTATACTTATCCGTCTTCTTTCCAAAACTTCATGCTAACAACCAGGAGGTAGCCTACTTTGGACGTTTACAAGGCAATTGCCTTTATATACGAAAGAATAAGATCCTTCCAGAAGTCTCCAAGGTTGTTGGGTTTCTCTTCAGAGGGATCTCAAGGCATGCCCATCTCTAAATTGTACCTATAAATGGCATCTGCAGAGCCTCCACTTGGGCATCCACACATACTTTCACTAAGCATTATGCCATAGAGACCTATTTGGCCTCCAACACTCAATTCGGATGCAGTGTACTATCTACAGTTAATACAGACTTACCAAAGCTCCCTCTGTCAAGCATGCCTACTGCTTCATAATCACCTAAGGAGCACCTAAGGAAAAAGAAGGGAAGGTTTTTTTATCTTGTGCAGTAACTGAGATTCTTCAAGATGATTGTCCCTGCAGGCCTTCCACCACCTACCCTTCCTCCCCTTTGCTTTGGAACATTTCATTCTGGGCAGAGATGGAACTGAAAGGACAGTAGGCTGTGCATGCTGATTAGCTGTTCCAAATGACACGTTCTGGCTGCCCTACGTGCACAGCCTACCAAGGACACTGCTGTATTAATTCTTTGATGAGGGGCACAGCAGCATTCAAACACCTAAGGTAGAGCACCCACAGTGACAACTATCTTGAAGAACCTCAGTTACTGCACAAGGTAAGTATTCTTCCCTTCTCTTTCTACTTTCTATGAAGTCTAGATCTTAATATAGTCCTCCTCCCCCAAAAAATTAGATTTAAAAAAGAAAATATCTGAAAATGCAGTTTGTCATTTACACAATATTCTGTTCAAAAATGTATTAGATGCCACTGAGAAATATAAAGGATTCAATGCATAGAAAAGCAAAATATTTTAATAATTAAATAAAGCTTTGAAAAGTAGAACATTTGAAAACATATAAAAAAGTTACTTTGTATGTCATACCTGTATGACCAAACTTAACCAAGCAACATTACCAAAACAATTATTACAAAAAGGCTGCATATTATGCCATTTTTTACAAGCAATGGCCTATTATACCATTTTTTACAATACATCATTTGGTTTGCATTCAGGCAAAATTTCTCTATGCATCATATATATCATTTAATATTATATAAGAAGAATGAAAAGTAAATTAACAGGATTCTATTATGTATATTTGAGTGCTTGTTTCATTTTAGAGAAAACCAAGCAATCCACCGTGTCTCTATGCACACTATGAATGCAGTATATTATAGTTATTGATACTAAGTTTAAAAACAAAAAACTCTTGATCTTTGACTCTGTTTCAGTATGAATTCAATATTTGTGTATATTACTTTGCATAGTGAATTTGCATATGTTCATCTGCATCACAAGATCTCATTGCAGAATTATTACCCCAAAAGGAAAGGGTAAAAATCTGAATGTGCACATGTAACTTGAAACTCTTGTGTGTGTTGCCAACTACAACTTAGAGGCAACCTTTGAATTAACCTGTTCTATCTTCTCTTTCATCTATTAAAAAAAAAAAGGTCATTCAGGATCAGTAATTTGTCTGATAAAACAGCGTGTCAGTTTCTTATACTATTCCTCAGAGGAGCTGAGCAATAGATTATTGAATAGTTTTCTATAATAATTTCCTACTGACATCATAAGAATAACCATAGTGGGTCAGACCACAGGTCTGTCTAGCCCAGTATCCTCCTGTCTTCAGACATTGGCCAATACCAGGTCCTTCAGGGGGAATAAATAGAACTGGAAATGAACTAATCATCAAGTGCATCCCCTGTTGCCCATTCCCACTTTCTGGCGAACAGAGGCTGGGGGCACCATTTCTGCTCATCCTGGCTAGTAGCCATGGATGGACCTATCCTCCATGAAGTTATCTAGCTCTTTTTTGAACCTGTTAATATCTTACCCTTCTCAACATTCTCTGAGAAGATGTTCCGTAGGTTGTCTGTGCATTGTGGGATGAAATACTTCTTTTGTTTGTTTTACTGCCTATTAATTTCATTTGGTAACACCCTAGTTCTTGTGTTATGAGAGGGAGTAAATAATACTTCCTTATTTACTTTCTCCACAGCTGTCATGATTTTATAGACCTCTATAATATCCTCCCCTTAGTCCTCTCTTTTTCTAGCTGACATGCTATTAATAAAAAATATTATGCTGTCATCTGAAGAAGTGGGTTGTGCCCATGAAAGCTCATGATACAATTTACATGTTTTGTTAGTCTTTAAAGTGCTACTAGACTATTTGTTGTTTAAAATTTTCCTGTTACAGACTAACCTGGCTACCCCTCTGATGCTATTCATAGAACTTGGAAAATGTCTTGTTTAATTGCAAAAACAATGAATCATGTGGCTCCTTAAAGACTAGCAAAATGATTGAATGGGCTCCGTCCCATGCCCAAATAAATTTGTTATTCTTTAAGGTTCTCCTTGTTTTTTGCTGAAACAGACTGACACAAGTATCCCTCTAAAACTTATTAAACTGCATATTTTTGTATGTGCATGTACCTTTAAAATCATAAACTCATCCAGCAGTCTTTAAATCGGGTGGGCAAGATACAGCCTATGGGCTGCATCTGGCCTGCCAAGCCATTTAATCTGGCTTGTGGCCTGCCTTACGGCACCCTGTCTCTGGGCCAATCAAGACCTTGGGGTGGTGCTGGAGGAATGTGGTACCAGAGGGAATTGCCAGGTGTTCAAAACAGTGGACAGTTCCCTCTAAGTATTGGTTGGGTGGAATGGTGAGGAGGGGAGACGTTGCGTGCTCCCTCACCACACAGGGGAGCGTGCAAAGTCTCCTCCCCCGCATATGTGGTGCCTAGAAAGAACCTCCTATTCCGTCTGAGGACCCACCCCTTCCAGGACCAGCCTGCAACCACTATCAACATTGGTGAAGTGGTCCCACTACAAAAATTATTGCCCATCCCTGCTTTAGATGATAAACTAAAATATCAACTGACACAGTTAGGAAAATAATAGTGTTGATTGTCATGGTAACAGTGCTAAGATATCTTTTAACTAGGAGATGAGCTAATCTGTGAATTGGAGAATAAATAATGATACTTAAGGTAAGAAAATATTTTTGTAATAAAAATGAAGGGTGTTTGTTATTTCATCTTCTGTGGTTTCAGAACAACACTGGAATAGGATCTTATGCAAGAAAATGCATATGGTGAGAGCTCTCTTGTATTAATATAATTGTTTTCAAGATGAAGATGTTCCAAATGTGAATCTTCAGCCTCCTCCTCCTCGGCACTGTCATCATCAACACTATCATGGTTGACAAAAGATCTGCAGATGCGTTCTGCAGGGACTGTCCTGTGAAATCATAGATCAATTTTGGTTTAGTTAGTAAAGCATATTAGTAAGCTCAATACAGTTCATTTTAGAGATGCTGATGACTAAGTTTTTATAAAAAAGATTTGGACTTGATCAGCAATTAAAAATAGTTAAGTAGTTATTAATTTTTATTTTTAGTTCTATACTGTAGAGATAACCCTTCAGTTTCTGAATGTATTAATAGATGTACACTGAGTGAAGTAGATATTTGTGATTGGTATATTTCAAACCAGGAGTTTACATCACCAATGATACTTTTAACAAGGTGTGAATGTTTCTTTTTGCATTGCTACCTTTTATTAAGAAATTCTCGGAATACATTAGTTATCAGATAAACTTTTGTCTTGACAACATGGGCAAGATTCTTGGCCCATCACGAAGCTGCTCTGCGGTGCTCAACATTGCAAGCCAGCTGAAAAGATGCTCTAAAGGAACACTTGAGAGCTCTTCTGGAAAGGTGACAGAAAATTGGTGTAGATACTTCGAGATTATCTGTGTATCTTCTGCATAGGGAGTATGCCTGGGAAGAGATTTTCTGGGAAAGTGCTGCACTTTGGTGGCAAGAGCCTACTTGAGACAGCATAGATTAGACCAGTCCTTAAACTGCTACAAGTTATGTTGGCAAGTAATTCGGGCCTCGAGACAGCCGTAGAATCAGAAAAGCAGTAGAATGACTTAGAGCCACCTTTTCCCCTGCGTTCCTCTACTGTAGCTAGGGATTTGATCCCAAATCTTTAATAAGCTAAGTACTTTGAGAATACAGGTATCTCAAAGTTGTACACTTTTTAAAAACAGTATTGGGAGCTTTAAACCACACTTTTTTTTTGTATAGTGTTTTGGAAAATATTGCACTAGAGAATTCAGGATTCAGTACCTTTTAAAAAGGTTTACAGTGTATGGTTCATGAAAAATGTAGAGTAGGAAGCTAATATAATATTTTAAACCATCGTGCCTTATTTATTAAATCCCTTTTTATATTTTCATTTAACAAAGCAGAATTGATAAATACCGTATTTTGTTGTTGTTCAACCTCAGAAAACTTAATGCCTTCATATCTGTGATTCCAAATGGTACAAACTTTAATTCATTGTGATCCAAAAATAATTCTCTCAAAGACCGATAAGCTCCATAGAATGACAGTGGATCTATTCCATCGTTCTTAAGTTTGTTAAAAGAAAGGTAGAGGTATTCCAGCCCTGGCTTCATGTGACCAAACACGTATCCTGGTATTCTTTCAATTTGGTTTCCTATAAGTATGAGGTGAAGTAAAGATTTTGGCAGATAGGAGGGTACATGGTATAACTTATTGTAAGAAAGATCAATAGATTCCAAATTCCTGAATTAAAGGAAACAAAAAAGGGACATATTAATGATACATTATACCGTTTAGTTTACAATGGACTCCTCACAAAATAACATTCAGTTAGTGGCAAGAAGCTTAGCTGATTAAGTTTAGGAAAATCTTTTTTGTGACAGGGTTTTTTTTTTTTAATAGAAGGAAATTCATTGTATGGCATATGGACAGAAATAAAATTATTTCTGAAAAAAATCAGAGAAAAAGGTAGAAAAATGTAGTGCAATATAGATTTGCAATAGACTAATATGCTATATTAGAAAACACAATTTTTTCTTTACTTTTAACAGCTCTTTTTGCATAGCTCTTATCCAGATGGTTTGTATTTTTTACCACTGTTGCTCATTGGCCAAAGGAGGCACTAAAATGGGCCTGATCCAATAACTATTAAACACATGAGTACACCCATTTGCTTCATTTAATTCAGTTTCTCATTGACACTGACATAAAGTTTGATTTTAAGTTTGTCTTCAGTGGAAATTCTTTTTATGAATAAGTGCTGCAGAATCAAACCTGAAGCTAAGTATCTTTTCATCAAAAAAATAATATCACCCAGTTATTGATAAAGTCTCTATGAATTGTCATGACCCTGTCTGTTAAATCTCTTCATTTTTCCTGTGATTTCAGTTTCTTTTTGAAAGTGAGGTAGGGATGCAGATAAACATCAATAGCAGCCCTGCTTCAGACAAAACTTTGTCAAGGATGAGGAGAGGAAACTTTTCTTTATCATTTTTATGTGGATTGATTGATTGTGGAATTCATTTTACCTCTGAACAAAATCCTTAACCTTGAGATCAGCATGGATAAAAATGTGGACTTTTAAAATTTTAATTTTTTTATTCGCATTAAGTACAGGTTTATTTTTTAAATAAAACTATTGAAAATTGAATTTGAAATTGATAACCAATGTTAACTATTAAATGTATGAAAAAGTGTTTTGTGCAGCTGGAAAGATTTTCTGTCTCTCTAAGAAATGTTGAACCAATAAAAGTCAACAAACATGCACAAGGGGGATTCAATAGATATAGTATACTTAGATTTCCAGAAAGCCTTTGACAAGGTCCCTTGCCAAAGGTTCTTAAGTAAAGTTGGCTGTCATGGGATAAGAGGGAAGGCCTCTCATGGACTGATAACTGGTTAAAAGGTAGGAAACAAAGGGTAAAAATAAATGATCAGTTTTCAGAATGGACAGAGGTAACTATTGGTGTCCCCCATGGGTACATACTTGGACCAATCCTATTCAACTTAGAGAAAGGGATAACAGTGAAGTGGCAAAATTTGCAGATGATACCAAACTGCTCAAGATAGTTAAGACCAAAGCAGACTGTGAAGAGCTTCAAAAAGATCTCTTCAAACGAAGTGACTGGGCACCAAAATGGCAAATGAAATTTAATGTTGATAAATGTAAAGTAATGCACATTGAAAAAAAAAATCCCAAACACACATACAATACGAGGGGACTAATTTAGCAATAATTACTCGAGAGACATCTTGGAATCATTGTAGATAGTTCTCTGAAAATAGCCACTCAATGTGTAGTGGCAGTCAAAAGGCAAACAGAATATTAGAAATCATTTAAAAAGGGATAGAGAGTAAGACAGAAAATATCGTATTGCCTCTATATAAAACCATGGTATGCCCACATCTTGAATACTGCATACAGATGTGGTCACCTCATCTCAAAAAAGGTATCTTGGAATTGAAAAAGGTTCAGAAAAGGGCAACAAAAATGATTAGGGGTTCGTAACAAGTGCCATATGAAGAGAGATTTAAAAGACTTGGACTTTTCAGCTTAGAAAAGAGGAGACTAAGGGGGGGATATGATAGAGGTATATAAAATCATGACTGGTGTGAAAAAAGTGAATGAGGAAAATTATTTACTTGTTCTCATAATAAAAGAACTAGGAGTCACCAAATGAAATTAATAGGTAGCAAGTTTAAAAGAAACAAAAGGAAGTTTTTCTTCATGCAGTGAACAGTCAGATTGTGGAACTCCTTATCAGAGTATATTGTGAAAACCAGGACTTTAACAGGGTTCTAAAAAGTACTAGGAGGTTAGGTCTATCAATGGCTATTAGCTACGATGATTAGGAATGGTGTCCCTAGCCTCTGTTTGTCAGAGACTGGAAATGGGTGACAGGAGAGGGATCACATGATGGTTACCTGTTTTATTCACTCCCTCTGGGGCATCTGGTATTGGCAATTGTTGGAAGATAGGATACTGGGCTTAGATTGACCTTTGGTCTGACCCAATATGACTGTTCTTATGTTATTACTTCACCCATATATAAGCTATTAAAATAATTTACATTAATTTTTTAAAATATTGGGCAATAAGTTCACTACCAAGTGTTAAAGAAAGTCACATAGAGGATAGGGATGATAGCGAGTAGTCTATAGAAGTATCAACTACTCACTTCCTCTGCTCCCTCTCCCCCCGCCTTCTCTGCACGAGTCCCAGGGGGAGCTGCCCCCGCCCCCTATCCGGACAGGGGCTGCTGCCACCAAGCAGCCCCTGTTCATGGCAGCCCAGGCTGGGGCTGCTCTGTCACCATTCCCTGGCCACCACGAGCAGAGGGTGCGCCAATGTGAACAGGGGCTACAGGACTCAGTGTACACTCGAATGGAGCAGTCCTGCCTCACGCTAGTCCAGGATGCTGCAACTCTGTATTTTAAATGTAGTAAGAGCCCAGCAGCTCTTACTACATTTAAAATGCAAAGTTGCTGCGTGGGTGCCTCCCGGAGTCCTTGTTTGAGCTGGCTCCTGGAGCTACCTCTGCTGCTGCTGCTCTGCAGAGTGGTCCTTATGACTAAATGTGTAGGTGCTACAAATTGTATCAACTACACAATTAGCTTGATAACCACAATTTAACACCCTCAATCACAGAAATGGTAAAAGTCACTGTCTGAGCTCCTAGAACTAGAGTTTGTTTAAAAAACAAACCAGCTTCTGATGCGATAGACCCTTCTACAGATGGATGGAAAATACTTTCTTCGTTTCAGTTTGTACATCTAGTTGAGTTCAATGACTAATTGATTCCTACCCGCTTAAAAAGCAGGAAAGATGGATTTTCTCTTCCAATCTGTGAGCCAAAACTAGGTGTGGGAGGATGTGATTGATTAGTTCTAAAATTCTGAAGGACATGATGACTAGAAACAATCAGTTTACTTAATTATCTACATATAACATTTCTTTGTTTAGTAAATCAGTTATGCTTTTGAAATGTAAAAAAAGCATTTTGGTAAATATTTTTACCTTATCCCTCACTTTTCATATAGTTTCATTTAATTAAAAAAGAAAAGGAAAATATGGGGTTTGCATTTTAATTGAATTTTAACTTCTAACCAAACAGAAATGGATACAAATCACAATTAAAAATTAATCGACTATTAAATAAGAAATGCAATATTTACTATTATCTAGAATAGTTAAAAATTAAAGCAAATCTGAATAAATATAAGGTAGCCTTCTTTAAAAAAACCTACTAAAAATGTAAAACATAATTATAGTTAGATTATTAAAATATCATGGTTTCCTGATTGCTGATTTGAATCATGATTTAAAATTAGTGATTTAAAGAACTTTGTTTTAAATCCTGTCATCCTACTTAACATTTAATGAAATATTTGGTTGATTTGTGAATGGAACTAACCTATGATATCACAATGTTACTTTAAAAGTGATACTGTAGATTTTTTTTTATCTTTTTGATGGAAAGGTAACTGAATTTCTTAATATAAGGGTGTTATGGTATCAATGGATTTTTAAAACATCTTAGATTTTGTTTGAGATAAGAGGAACCTTGTTACATAATACAAATATTACTTTCACAGTAGAGTTTTCTAGCAGAACTACTTAACAAAACAATTGTTACTTACTCTTGATTGATCCAAGCCAAAGGTGCTATCCTACTTTCTTCTAACTTGTTGTGTTTCAGCACAATGACGTTAATATTGCTGGTATGGTTGAAGCAAATTTCTGAAATTTCTTCAATTTGGTTATTTTCCAGATACAGTTCCTACAAGTACATTTGAAAAACATTATTTACATTTTTCCTGTTGTGATTTAAAAAAATAACCTTTTAAATATCATTGGCCACTCATATAAAACCGCTATTTTCCAGATATCAAAATAATTACCTGAACACATCTAGGTAGTAGTCTCGGTAGTAGTAATTGTGTGATTTGATTTTGAAAAGAAAAAGTAATATACTTTACATTTGTGAAATCATAAGTTACTTGAAAAGACAGTGATGAGTGTATGGGTGTATTGAATGCTTAGACTATTGCAACATAATTCATATTTTCAGTACACAAATGATAGGTTTGCTAAGAGAAAATAAAAATATGTATTTAGTACTGTATAGGAAAGGCATGACAAACTTCCTATAAGAATGAGGCAATTGTTGATGTCAACTGAGTTGGCCAAAACATAGGATTTCCAGTCACAGGAAATTTCACTATTTTAAAATAAGCTTTTTGTTCTGAATCAGAATGATACAGTTTTTTTCAAGTTTTCCCCAAATGGGAAATCCTCTCCCCCTACTTCCACCTCTTCCCCCACCCCTACCCCACAAAAAAAAAAAGAGAGAGAGAGAGAGAGAGAGAAGAATGGGGGGGGAGGAGGAGGGAGAGATTTGATAATAGCCTTCAATGATCTGAAGGGGATTTCTAAAGAAGATGGGGCCAGGCTATTCTCAGTGATGGCAGATGAGAGAACAAGAAGCAATGGTGTCAAGTTCCAGTAGGTTGGAGATTAGGAAACACTACTTCATGGGAGAATAGTGAATCACTAGAATGGATTGCCTAGATAGATGATCCTTAGAGGTTTTTATGGCCAGACTTGACAAAACCCTGACTGGAATGATTTAGTTGGGGTTGTTCTTGCTTTGTGCAGGCAGTTGAACTAGATGACTTCCTGAGTGCTCTTTGAATGCTAATCATCTAGAATTTTAAGTGGAAAAAGATTGGGCTTAGAGGGCAGACTATGAGTAATGGATAGTAATAGAGAAATGGTGGAAGAAAAGACTGGAGTGAAGGAAGAGACGGTGGAACTAGATATAGCGGAAGAAATCTCTTACTGGATATTTTCAGTTTTGCTTTACAAAAAAAAAGTCAAGATCCTGGGTGGAGAATGCTGGAAGAAAGGACTAGTTGAGGAGATGGTCAATTGCACAGAACAGTCTGGGAGAGAGAACAATTAAAAGCTGTTTTGAAAGAAGGGTAGAGGAGGAAGAGAAAATTAATTTAACATTCAGGAAACTAGTGTAATTGTGATATTTTTCCAGTACAGTTGAGAACAAAGGAATAGGCAGAAATACTGGATAGAGGTTGGAATCCAAGGAATTTGCAGAAGGAGAAAAGAAGTAGCTGAGAGCTGCATAAAAGTTGGAATGATCAGTAGCTGGGAGGCCACAAAAGGGTGAATTGTTGTGGTGTAAATTAAATGTTATTTGGTAGACTCAAAGGAAGAAGTTATGCTAGTTAGGTCAGCTTTTACTTTGTATCTCATGTTTTCTTATATTTTAAATGCATATTAGGGTGCCCAGAGATTTAGATGGAGGCCATTTGTGGTAGAGTTTGTATAAATAAAAAAGTAAATATCTAGCAATAGTGACTTTGCAACCAATGACAATATGTCTTGAAATAAACAAGATGTTAAAAGTATCATCTCTGCTTAACAGATATGGGAGTGTATATAACAGAAGAAAAGAAATACATCTGGAAAAATAAATACTTTTTGGTTTTTTTTACCTCAATAGACGTGGGAAGACCTTGGGGGACAGTTCTAAATTTATTTCTTCCAAGACGCAAATAAGACAGGCTTTTCAAAGGATGGAAAGCTAAAGGACTGACATTTGCTTCACTAAGCTTATTGCCTTCTAATTCCAGGGTCACCAAGTTCTTTAATTCTGTAGAAAATAAAATATTTGGTGGTAAATTTCAATTTCAGTAAAGTACCTCATGTCTTACTAAAACATGAAATAAGTTAACAGTTTTAACATTAAAATTATTTCAAAAGAATGGAAAACCACATATGCCTGATTTTTATACTCCCATTCATAGGTTGTAAAATTGTTTTATTTTCAATCTTTTGCAAAAAAAAAATCAGCGAATTACTGTACCATGCTCAAAAATTGAGCTGTCACTATACTGTAAATATAGTTAAACTATGAAAAATGCAACTGAAATGTCTTGCTAAAACATGTGTTTACAGCACATGTTGTAACTTTTATTTTCCACCATGAGACGTGTGCAATTTCCAGCATAGGATTATTGTTATTTTAATATTGTTTTTTCAGAATGGGAAAGTAAGATGTAGAGGGAGCTAATGGTAGTGAAAGCTCCTTAGTAATTGAATACATCAGTGTGTGACATAAGAGGATGCATAAAGCAATGTACTGGTTCTAATCTTCTGCAAAGACACCATAAGATCTGTAGGATTCTCTCACAGCTCTCTCATTCATGTGGTCATATTGTTGCATAAAAGCCTCTGCCTGAGCTATTACTTGATTTTACACATGGATTTTTCTGGAAATACACTGAACTGTAAGATCCTGCCAACACATGACTTAGAGACTAACAAAAACCTCCTTCTGACTGCATTGCTGGAGGGTGGGGAGGCAGTTGTCTTCTAAGTCACTTCCTTACTTTCAGCTGTATTGCCTTTTAAACGCTGCAACTCATTGTGATCTTTGTTAAACCTTGTAACTCTGTAATCTCTGTAAAACTTTGAACTCTCAGCAACTTTGGTTTATAAGTTAAGAAAATTATTGTAACTTGGTGATTGTTGAGCCTTGCAACTTTGTAATCTTTGTAACTCAGCCACTTTGCTTGTAACTTGCTCTAAACTGCATTCTTCCATGAGATATGAATGTGTGAGTGGAGACTGTGTGTTTGGGATTAGAAACTTCAAGGTTGAGCACGTGGAGCCAGGTGAAGGAGTCATCAGACCCAATAAGGAGACTGCTGCTCTTGTGGATCAAGGGAAGTCTCGGCGTGTTCCCTGGTGACTAATGTGGATGAGTCACAGGGGTGTACAGAGGCAATAAAAGGAGAGAGTATGTGGCAGAAACCCTTTTTCTGAGGTTGAAAAAGGGTTTCTGCCACATACTCTCTCCTTTTATTGCCTCTGTACACCCCTGTGACTCATCCACATTCGTCACCAGAAGCTCCTCTTTCTGCATCCAGTTTCTTTCCTGACCAGACATCATCAGCAGACAGACCCTCCAGATATAATATGCCTTGGCTCCTTCTGCAACCCATATGCCTGTGAGAGTGCCTGAGGGCAGTGAATGTGAGTGAATGAATTAAGGGGTGAGAGAGGGAGATGGAGGGAGAGAGAGAGAGAGATGGTTCCCCTTTTAGTTTAAACCTTCTAGTGGCAGCTCTATCCTCTTTAGTTTAACCATATAGTGGAGTGTTAATTCCTCAATCAATAAACCCATACTATTGTGTCCCTGGGTGGTCTCCAGTGGGAATTTTTGGGGTAACATTAACTTGAACCTTTTCTAGGTTCAGAGGTCCCTCCCCTACTTCAGTGTGCTATATGTTTCAAAATCCCCATCAGGTATTCTGCATCTCCCTTCCTATGGAATGAACATAAGAATGGCCATACTGGGTCAGACCAAGGGTCCATATAGCCTAGTATCTTATCTTCTGACATTGGCCAATGCCAGGTGCCGCAGAAGGAATGAACAGAACAGGTAATCATCAAGTGACCCATTCCCAGCTTCTGAAAAACAGAGGCTAAGGACAGCATTCCTACCCTTCCTGGTTAATAACCATTGATGGAGCTATTCTCCTTGAATTTATTTAGTTCCTTTTTTAACCATTTGTTATGGTCTTCCCAACATCCTCTGGCAAGGAGTTCCACAGGTTGGTTGGTTGTTGTGTAAAGGAATATTTCCTTTTGTTTTAAATCTGCTACCTATTAATTTCATTTGGTGACTCCTAGTTCTTATGTTATCATTATCATCAACAACATTGGGCTCAACACCTATTGGTGTCTGATGCCTCCCTCACTATTTCCTTCCATCTTTCTCTGTCCAGTGCGGAGTGGCTTAGTTTCTTTAGACTAGCTCCGAACCAATCTACTATGTCATCTACCCATTCTCTGTGGGGTCTGTCTCTCCTATTTGGATCATCCATTATGCCAAATATCAGAGTCTTAACTTTTTGCTCCTCGTTCATTCTGCAGATATACCTGAATAGCTGTGACTTCCGTTGTATAACCTTCTGCAGTAGGTTCTCTTTTGGCTGTATCTTCCTATATAATTCCTCAATGGTGACCTTCTCCATCCATCCTAATTTCAGGATGTTTCTATAATTCCTCTCGAGCAGGTAAATAACTTTTCCTTTCTTACTCTTTATATACCACTCATGATTTTATAGAACCCTGTCATACCCCACCTTCCAGTCTCCTCTTTCCTAAGATAAAAAGTCCCAGTTTTATTTATTTCTCCTCATATGGCAGCCATTCCAAACCCCTAATCATTCTTGTTGCAGTTTTCTGAACTGTTTCCAATGCCAATATATCTTTTTTGAGATGAGTCGACCACATCTGCATGCAGTATTCAAGATGTGGGTGTACCATGGATTTATATAGTGGCAGTAAGATATTTTCTGTCTTATTCTCAATCTCTTTTCAATTTATTTCTAATATTGTTTGCTTTATTGACTGCTGCTGCACATTGAATGGATATTTTCAAAGAACTATCCATAGTGACTCCAAGATCTCTCTTGAGAGGTAATAGTTCATTTAATCCCTATTATTTTATACTTTAGTTGGAATGATGTTTTCCAACATGCTTTACTTTGCATTTATCAACATTAAAATTTATCTGCTACTTTGTGCCCAGTCACCTTGTTTTGTAAGATCGTTTTGAAGCTTTTCACAGTCAGCTGCAGACTTAACTATATTAACTATCTTGAGCAGTTTAGTATTGTCTGCAAATTTTGCCACCTCGCTGTTTACCCCTTTCTCCAGATCATTTATAAATATGTTGAATAGGATTGATCCAAGTACAGACCCCTGCAGGACACCATTAGTTACCTCTCTCCATTCTGAAAACTGACCATTTCTACCCTTTGTTTCCTACCTTTTAACCAGTTATCAGTCCCTGAGAGGCCTTCCCTCTTATCCCATGGCAGCTTACTTTCCTTTTGGGTTCCAGAACCAGTTGTTCCAAGAAACAGTCATTTAAGATGTCAAGAAACTTTATCTCTTTATCTCTTCCTGAGGTGACGTGTACCTAATCAATATGGGGAAAGTTGAAATTCCCCACTATTATTGAGGTTTTTTATTTTTATAGCCTTTCAAATCTCCCTCAGCATTTCACAATCACTGTCACTGTCCTAGTCAAATGGCAGGTAATATAGCCTTACTGCTATATTCATATTATTAGAGCATGGAATTTCTATCCAGAAAGATTCTATGGAACTTACACTCATGAGTGTAAAATGTAATATGTGTATAAGTCTTTGCAGGATAAGTCTTAAGTAACTCATATTGAACTTTAATTTTTTTGTTCTACAATGACAAATGAAAATTGGTCTAAAATTCTCCAGATGTTGCTTAATATGCAAGATCTCAAAATTCTATTCTGCATTTTGAGTTTCAAATCTCATTTCATTGACTCAATATACATACCTTGAAAACTGTCCTCGTCAATAGCATGGAGATAGTTTTCATTTATTTTAAGTTCTTCTAAAGCTGATGGTAATTCAGGAGGAATGTGTACTAGTGCGTTTCCATCCATATACAAACGTTTTAACTTTTTCAGGATCTTTATTTGGGAAGAAAATCAGAATTCAGTTAACAAAAAGTAAAATTATATTGTCAAATAACCTAAAATGGTAATTTCCATTTTATTAACCATTTAAATTTGTTGCTGTTGGTTGTGTTAGGTAAGTTTAGAACCCATGAAGAGCACCAGGTTGATAAACTTGACACCTGACTTTTACATACAGTACACTTCCAATAATCCGGCACCTTTGGGACCTAGGTGGTGCCGGATTATCGGATATGCCAGAATACCAGGAGATACTATAAGAGGGCATACTCCCAACCCAATCCCCCTCCCCACTTTATGCTTGGGTCCCGGAGCCACCGGTACAGTCACGTGTCTCCCTTCAGCTCTGGGGCACATGCGCTGAGCGGCCGGCTTTTCAGTGACATGGCTGGGACGCCGTGCACAACCCAATCCCCCTCCCCTCCCCTTCCCTTCCCCAGAGCCAAACACCTCTCCTCTCTGCTGTCACCCAATCCTCCTCCTCCCCCAATATTATGTCTGGGTCCCGAAGCAGCTGCCTGTGCTCAGCGGCCTGCTGCTAGCACATGCAGACTGGACACTGTGTGTGCTAGGGGCTGTGAGCATGCATGCGGCTCACAGTGGCCCGGCCGTGAGAGCGGCTGACCTGAGCAGTTCCGGGTTCCAGTTGATGCTGGACAATCAGGTGTGCCGGACAACTGGATGCCGGACTATTGGAATTTTACTGTACTCACAACAAGTAAAGACTGGGTAGCAGCAGCGGCTGATCACTGTTGTGGAATATCCAGCATTTTGATAAGAAAGCAATTCTGTCTCTTAAGTACTTGAACCATTGGTCTTTTTATATAAACTACCGCCAAGGGTGTCCATTGTGAGAATATGTTTTGTGATGTGGATATCTGTCATCCAAGAATTGGACTTAGCTCATAAACCTCTTTCATGTGAACCAGCCAACTGCCATCCCAGCCATATTGGCCCTTAATCCTGTTGTTATACTTTATCTTTTAGATACCTATACTCTTTTATAGTATTTTCATATTATGTTCTTAATCTACAATAGTCAATGTTTTTCTGTAAATTTCCTCTAGGACTACTCGTTCACTACAGTTCATTAGACTCTTTGGAGTAGGTGCAGAGGCACATGGCTTTTTCACAGGTTGAGAGTTAAAATAAGTTGCAAAACTTCAGTTTTCTATTTCATATAAAGGACTCTGTGTGTAAGCTCCTAAACTTCCCTTTCAGAAGTAACAGAAGTTGGCCTAATAAATTATATTATCTCATCCACATTGTGTCTCATACCTTATGTGTCAATCAGATACATTATATGGATATCTAAGGATTTACATTAGCATGATTGGAAATCCTTGATACCATTATGTATGGTAACACATACCCTGGCTGACATTAAACTTTGTCACATTCGTTATGGTGTGAGACTAAGGAGCAAAAGTCTTCTGCTAGCAAAAAAGTAAACATGACAGTAAATATTTCAATAGTTGGGGGAAATTTTCCACTGACAGGACACTGAAGGTGGTACAATTTTAAAAGAGCCCTTTTTTACTATGAGTTATGTTCCTTTTGTTCATTAGTTAATCAAAATGCCAAAAAATAAATGGAGGTGTGTTTTCCAAGCTTTTTAGTATGCTTTGTAAAATACAAGAACAAATACAAATATTTTGTAATAAAATGTAACTTTAAAAAAAAAAACCTCATAGAATAAAACAGGAGAAATGTAACTCTCACAATTTCATCATACCTTGCAGTTAAAATTCAACTACAGAGACAAGTGAAATGGTGAGGTCTGTAAAGCCACTGCTCAGTAGGGCATTTAAACCAATAAGGCCAATTATATATTTAAGCGCTTTGCTGGATTGATACCAGCCAGGGCTCAAATGCTTTTTGTGACTACAGCTTTCTGTCAGAACATGTTTATTATGGACAATCCATTCAGAACTAATAAATAATTCTGATAAATGTATGTTGCTAATAAATAAGTAACAGATATTTGATCTTTTGCAAAGTTAATCTCGGAAGACTGCTTGTGTGTCATATGTTCTGTATTTATCTTCCCTGATACTTTTGTTACCTAGGTAGTTTGTATGAAAACAGACTCTTGTTTTTATTAGTTTGCATATATCTGATAATTTGTTTTCCAACTTGTTCAGAGTATTAATGTTTTTGCAACCAAAAATTTAGGTTTATGGTTTGATTTTCATTCACTTAAACTAATCAAAATCATGTTTTCAAATTAATTTGTACTAAGGGGACAATGGCACTCTTTAGATTACCATAGATGTAAACTTATCATCATTATGAAAGCATCTTTAGGGGGCACAAAAGCATTAGTGTGGGAGAACTATTGTAATAGGAGAAATCATAAATTATTGTATAGTAAATGGCCCTGAACTTCTGAGGGCATTGATAATGGAATATAAAACATTTCCTTTTTAAATTGTTGGCTAGAAGTCTAGCTTAGATAGATATTTGACTGTTAGATGGCCTATGTGAAATGAACTGATGGTCACCATCCAGGTCCTAAATTGCTTGTCTTTGTAGAGCCTTAACTTAGGCTCCAGTCATCCGAAGAAGTGGGCTGTGCCCACAAAAGCTCATGATACCATCTACATGTTTTGTTAGTCTATAAAGTACTACCAGACCACTGGTTAGGTTTTTTAGGCGCATATATATATATATATATAGTCCCATTAACAGCAGTGGTATTCATGAGCTTAAAGTTAAACGCATACTGAAGTATTTTGCTTGATTGGGACCAAGATGACAGTCATAAAGAAAAACTTCAAACTGTGATGCCAATTCAGGCACCCTTGTTAGCAGGCTGATCAATTTCTAAAGAATGAATATTAGAGGTAGTCATTCCAAATTAGACAGTGAAGCACACTGATGGGGCAACTTATATATTTTTCTAAGGATAGAGAATTCATTGTGCAGAGTCATCCTTCAAAAGCTTCTCTTTCTATACTCTTTTCTTTAAAAGAGAGTCTAAATTCTCTGAGGCTTCTAAAAAGGATGCAAAAAGCATGTTATGATGATGGAAAATCTATTATTGAAAATTTTCAAAACTGAAGATGATGGAAAATCTATTATTGAAAATTTTCAAAAATACTTGAAAATATGAATAATAGAATTATTATTCAGTAAACATGAAATAGTATTCAACCAACTATATAACTGGCTGAAAACTGCAAAAAAGCTTGGTTGAAAACTGCAAAATTTGATTAGTCATATTTATTACATAGAGAGAGATCCGTAGCTAATGCAAATTCTCATAACTCCATTGACTCCTGCCCAGCTGCAATAATTTATATTGGCTGATTATTTTCCCTCTAGAGTATTCAGTCAGATCTACTTCAAGCATAAATCAGTGACAGAGATGTTAGAAAGAGTATGTTTGCTTACTTTGAATGCTTGTGGACCTATGCCTGGAGAAGTAATATTATTTTTATTAAGATCAAGCCTTTCCAAATTAGGAATCCCATTGAAAGCTTCATCTGGAATGGAAGCGATGTTATTCCCTAGGACAGATAGTTAAAATATACATATACATATATTTTAATATTGTGTTGCAACTTATATGGTTTGAATCAGGTAACTAGATACTTACTGTACAAGTAAAAATGTATTTAGGGAAATAAAGTCAACTCTATGTCTTTGTTTCTCAACACTAGTAACTTCTAATTTTTGAAAAACAAGTTAGATTGCAGCAACACAGCACTTACATATTTTATTAGATTACCCAATATCTAAAATTACTATAATTATGAAACCATGTTTAGGAATGGAAAAGCAGTAATGCTGGAGAACTAATGGGCCTGAACATCTTTGGGCACTGACAGTGGCAAATGAAGCTTTTCACTCTAGGTTGTTGCTTCTTTCTCAGACTTAGTTGTTAAATGCTTTTAAATTTTTCTGTGATAAGAAACTAGAGATATAAAGCATTTTACATGATGATTTGCTAACATTAAAATTGTGGGGTTTGGAGAGGGCTAAACTTTAACTGGTGGAAAAAATAATACAAAGCAAACTTATTTTCTTACCTTCAAGCTCTAAGCTTGTTATCTCTGGATCTGTAATTGGTGGTATTTGTGTAAGCTTGGCATTAATGCAGCTTACTGTGGTGTCAGAGATTGAACATCCAGTTGGCAAAGGAGGAATTTCTGCAGGAGGAACAGGAATTGGGAATTGAGGGGAAATTCTGAAAACATCGCCTCGTAAAATATGTTCATCCTCTTCCTCATCTTGTTCTTCACTTTCTCTTTCTTGCTCATTTTCTTTTCTCTTTTCTTCTTCCTTTTCAATTTGTAACTCTTCCTCTTCATAGGCTCTTCTTTTTTCTTCTTCTCTCCTGCTTATTTCCTCCTCTGCTTTTTGATGTCCATCATGGTCTTGCCTTTTTTTCTCATCCTTAATTTTCTTTTCTTTTCTCTTCCTGTTCTCATCATCCTTTTCGTAAATTTCCTTTTCTCGCCTTTCAGATTCTTCCTTCTCTCGTCTGAGTAACTCATCCATTTCAGCCTGAGTATGCAGTGGTTGCAACAGCCCTGGGTTACTAGGATCATTTGGTTCTGGAGAAGCACCAGAAATTTCAGGTGTGTCATCCAGTGAAATATTTAATACTAAAAATGAGGGTGACCACAGTAAAGAAAATGCAGAAAAGAAAGAGAATGGTAGCATAAGAGGAAATGCAAATGAAATAGTGTTAATAACCGTTATCCATCCCCTTCCCCCAACATTATAAATATTTGGCTTATAGAAGAATAAATTCTCACTGAGAATGTGATTTTAAAGAACAAAAATATCTTTTTTACTTATTTTAATTATGGTACATTTAGGGATGTTAAATAGTTAAATAGTGTAACCATTTAAACCAGGGTTGGTAAAGAATTGTTAATGGGAGGCCACTCCAAAATTTTGGTAAGTGACCACACTTCTATGGAGGGAGTGTGGGGTCTGGGATGGCAGATGGGGTGCAGAACAGAGCTTAGGATAGAGGACTGGGTGTAGGAGGGAGTGTGGGGTCTGAGAGAGAGTTTGGGTGAAGGAAGAGTTTATGATTTGGGGCAGAGACTTGGGGTGCAGGGTCCAGGAGCGAGTATGGGTACAGGAGAGGATTCTGGCCTGGGGGAAGGGGTTTAGGCAGGATCTGGGAGGGAGTTGTGACCTGGGGAAAGAGGGTGCAGAGGATTTGAGTGGTGACCCGAGGCAGAGGAATGGAGTGCAAGGTCTGGGAGGGGGGTATTGGGAGCAAGAGATGATTCTGGCCTAGGGGAAAGGTATAGGAGGGGCTACATGGTTGGGAAGGGAGTTGTGACCCAGAGGAGGTGGGGAGAGGGTACACAGAGGGTTTGCATGGTGACCCAGGGCGGGGGTGGTGGTGGCCTGGGACTGGAAATTGCGGGGAGAGGAGGTGGAGTGCCAGAGTCATGCTCTGGCTGGGAGGCGCTTACCTAAGCAGCTCCCAGCCAGCAGCTCTGCAGGAACCTGAGACAGGCTCCATGCATGTGTGCCGGGCTGGTTGCTCCATGTGGCTCTGCTCCAGCACGGGGAGGGGAGAGTGAGGAAGCAGCAGAGCAGGTAGCAGGCGGGACCCAGTGTATGTCGGGAAGTGTATAAGATGTATACAGCAGAGCCCACAGTGTGTAACCTTGTAACCGCTAAGATTTTTAACTGTTACACAGTTACCTAATTAACCACTTTTTAACATTCTAAATACACTGCACATTTGTTATACCAAAATGTTCAATACTTGTTTTGTGGTCCCTGATGAATGTCTCGTATGTCAGCATATTATACCTTTATGAGGCAATATTAATATTAAAATCATTATGCAAATCCAGCATCAGAAAAATTTTACTGAACACAGCTGGTCAGTGGAGAATCCAGATTTTAAGTGAGTATGATGGTCAATGGTTAAGCCTTTACAGCAGCTGCTACATAGAATAGTGTACAAATGTCAAATAGGAACACATCAAAGCAGTCCTAAACGAATTTAAAATAGGTTTTATTTGGTGGTCCATTTTTTAACTGTTGCAATTGTTAAAGTTGTGTGTCCTGGCACAGGCTCCCAAACAGAAAAATGTGCGCCTAGAGATGAAGAAGGAGGGTTATAGTAACAGTTGGTTCCCAGAACCCTTTCTCCACTTGGGGAGCAGCATGTAGCTGATACAGCCCTTGTTAAAGCTGGCTGGTAAGGGGAGGTCGATTAGAGAGATGTTCTTCCATGTTCCTATGAAGTTTAGAGCCATGGTAGAAAGATTGCGGTGCAGTTTGTGCACATACTTATTCATGTGCTCATGCACACTATGCCTATTTGAATAAATCAAATTATTTGTTGCTCTTTTTCAATCTTTCTACAAGATTTACAAAGAACTTTCCACCCATGCTCAACACAGCAGAGATACAGGAAGAAAAAATATCACAAAAATACAAAAATTAAATGGTGTGCATTCTTCAGGGATAAATAATACTTTTATCTACACAAATGTCACCCATCCATTTTGCTTCCTTTCTTTTCATCACTTCAGACCACATGATGGGGGGCTTTTCTTGCTGAAATTCTTCCTTGTTAACTGCTTCATTTGGTCAACCTGAGCCAGTACATATATTTTTATGCTTACCACCCATTGTATTTTTATGGGTTCCCTCTGCCAAAGGAAGGGCAGACTCAATTCCATTTATGACTTTTTGAGTATTTATTTTAAAATAGAATTCTAGGAATAATATGAAATGAATGTTTCTCAGAATAATAGTTTTAAAATTGTATATCTTCTTTATAAGACAATATTTACTGAATCTTGGAAACTTGTTTTATTAGACTACTTTAACTGGTATTCAGAGCATCTTTGTCATTTTATTACTTTAAAGTCTAATAAGAAGTGTACTTGATACCTGGATTTCTAAATGCACAACCAGGCTCTCCAATATCAAATACAACTGCAAAAGGAGTGTTAGGGACTGAACCCGGTAGGTAGGGATGTTCATTTTATAGGTTGTGTATGCAGATTTAATAAATGATTAACAGAGGTTTTAATAAATGATTGATCAGTTGTCATAGATTAAGAGTCCAGTAGATTAATAGATGTCTTGTAATTGCTACTTTTTATTTCCTTCTTCTAATATGCTTATTACAATCAATAACACATACTTTTCATGTCTAATGTGCATTTATATAATCTCCTAATCATTTATAAACACTTTATAAATGGAACCTTATTTCTTTTTGGTATGTACTGTAAAGGAGGAAAGTTTGTGCTTTTATTTCACTAGCTGAAAAAGCAAGGAGATAAGTAAGGGGAAGAGAAAACAGAAAAGGAAAAAAATCAGTAGAAAATATGTGGATCATGAACCTTTTCCCACTTCAGGCATATCATATTTCTGTTTGGGAGCAACATACAATTTTGCAGAACTTATTAATTTTATTGTGGAACAATGTTTGCTGATTCTGTAAACTAAAAAATTATCTATATTGCTGCTGTTATTGCACCTTTTCTACTTTCAATATTTAAAAGAAATTGTTTATTTCAAAGATTCCAAGGCCAGGAGGGACCATTTTGATATCTATTCTGAACTCCTGATAATACAGATCATAGAATTTCCTCAAAACAATATCTTTTAGAAAAATAGTTAAATGTTAAATACAATTAATAATTTATGACATTTTATTAAATAGGTTATAACACTTGCATTTTGCCTTTAATGTTTTGTTTTTGGTAGCTTTAAAATAGTTTTAAAATATTGTAAAAATAACAAATGGAAAATTAAATGATGGATAAGAAGATAGAATGGTATACCATACCAATGTCAGAGCAAACTGGGCAGCACTCTCCTTCAGGTATTACAATTCTGCGACATGTCAGAGGAAGGCATGTAGTTTCATCACAAATCACTTTTCCTTTTGAACAGAGACATGTAATGCAGGGTTTGGGGGACCACACCGCTTTATCATACATAATCATCCCATTAGCTGTACAGTGCCCTTTCTTTCCTAATAGAAGAAAAAAAGAATTATGTCAAAAGTAAGAGATGAATTAAATAATAATTTGTTGATTGCTTAAATTGAAATAAACATTATAAAGTTTCATTGTTTAGACTTTGATATACTTGATGTTTATAGTAAATTGGTTGGGAAAGCCAGAGAAATATGGTTAATGTTAAGGGCAAATATTTCACTTTACTGCATCTTAGTAGACACTGTTAAACTAATTAGTGTTTCAGGTAGTAAGTGCTTTTATTGCTCTTAATCTAGCAATGAATTACTTGTCTACAGAATCTATTTATGTGGGAGAGCTTTAGTTTTGTGCTTGAGTACAGTATGAAGGAAGTATTTTTACATATGGGCATTGTTCTCATCTATAAAATTTGCACAAGACATTTTTAATATAATAGGAATATTTTTAAAATGTAGATAGAGTACTTCAGCTTACAATTTCAATCTGCCTCAGAGAGTAGATGAGTTAGTCTGTATGGGTACGTCTACACTACAACGTTAATTCGAACTAACTTAGCTAATATAATAGGAATATTTTTAAAATGTAGATAGAGTACTTCAGCTTACAATTTCAATCTGCCTCAGAGAGTAGATGAGTTAGTCTGTATGGGTACGTCTACACTACAACGTTAATTCGAACTAACTTAGCGTTTTGCTAATTCGAACTAGCATGTCCACACATAGTAGACCCTGAACTGGGCTTAAGGATGGCCGGAAGCAGTGCCGGCAGGGCATCAGAGGAGGACTTAGAGCGTGGAGATGCTGCCTCAGGCTAGCCCAGGGCTGCGCTTAAAGGGACCCGACCCCCACCCCGGACAGACAGTTCTCAGGGGTGCCCCGCTTGCAAAGCAGTCCTGGCTTGGAGTGCCCGGACTACCCACACTGGGCACATCACACCACTCGGCCATCAGCCCGGATGCACGTGCCGCAGGCTGCCATCTGGGGAGAGGGGGCAATTGGGGGGCTGCAGGAGAGCTTCCACCCCCAGAAGCCCTCTTCTTGATGTACAAAATAAAGGACACGTGTGTTCAAAAATAGAAACTCTGTTTATTTAACAAAACTCAGGGAAACTGGGAAAAGGAGGTGGGAGGGGAAGAGAGAGGGTGGGAGAGGGGAGGGGGAAAACTGGGAGGAGGGAGCTGAAAGGGGGAAGCAAGGGAAAGGAGGGGGTGGGGAAACTGAAGGATCA